CGTGGGTTGCAGGCTCTTATGAGCTGCATAATCTGTTCCGGCTATGATGGTGTAGCCGGGATCCATACCCTCGCCCTTTGTTTGGATCGTATATCTTTTTTATCTACCGCTACCAGTTTTGCGCCGGGGTATACCTCCCATACCTTGGCTATAACAGCTTTGTATAGTGCGACCGAAATCTCGTCGTCGCATGCAATCACCCTTTAATTTGACCCTGGTACCAGCCGGCATCTGTGCATGACGGTTGCGGACCTGGAGTGCTTAGTAGCACTTCCAGCGCCACATTTGTCAACGCAGACTGCACCCACTTCCATTGAGCTCTGGGGATTCTTCCTTCGGCGTCACTCTCTTTGTTTTCGGTCTCTTGGCTGACGCCTTAGCCTATTCAGCAGACCTCTGTCGCTTTGCTGCCTTTACTAGCGGTTATGACTGCTCTCGCGCAGTCAATCGATGCTTGGAGCACCTTGGTTAGCTCCTCTTTGGTTGGCGGTTGCATCTCTACTAACCTCAGTAGGTATGTGGCGCGTCAACTTTCCGCATACCTTGTCTTTGGCGGGTTTTCTCATATTTTTGTATTTGTTAATTTTATTTTGATTTAGGTTCATATATGGTCCCACGAGTGTAGGGGAATGTATGTCCGCTTGCGCATAGCCCCCGCTACGCAAGTAAATCTATCATATTACGGAGGGCGTCAGGTATCTGTAAGCTCCGTTCGAGACTGAGCTATTTAAGATGCAGCCCGTGAATAATGCGATTAAAGTATGCCACCTTATGACCAAAAATTGCCTAAATCGGATTAAAACTATTCAGCCCCCATATATTGAATATGTAGACCACAATGCCTATACTTGTAGTTGACTTTTTATCGAAAATATCATTCAATCTGTAAGATTATTATTATTATTAATATAAAATAATAATTCCTTTAGCTCCCATATACCTAATAGAATGATTTTCGAATTACCGGCTGACTTTTTATCGCATAAATAAGATACCTTAGCAAAATTTACTGGAAGTACAATATAATATTGGATATACTATAGTTTAGTGTCGAAAATATGTGAAATTGGTTTACACATTACCCAAACTATCATATACTACATATATTGATTTTCTTTGTTTTAACAATCCGTATGAATCTGAAGGTATTTCCCTGCCTGACCTTGATCCTAGCAAGTTGCAGGAGTATGAAATGTTCGGTTACAACCGAACTTAGCTCTTCCTTACTTCTTCACAATGTGTTTGTGTATAAGTTTATTGCCCGGAAATTTGCACTTCATTCGTTAATTCATCAAAACCTGCTAATGTTTGTATCGGTCCAACTCACATTTTTCGGGGGAACGTGCTGAACCTTTTATTTTCAATGAGACATTCAGAATCACTTTTGCTCTTAAAAAGCCTGTCTGTCTGATATTTGCTTAATGTCTCTGCTAAGGCTTCTTTGTAACTTTAATGGTACTACCCTTTTCAGGAGCTATTCTCCGGTAAAAAACCAATAGTTGCACATAATAACAACCATGAAATTGTAAAAGAACTCGTATATACCAATGCTACGTAGTTTAATTTTGTAGTGACCCATAACAGAGACTAAAAGATCGGCAAAATTTTATGCTAGAGTGACCAAGCTACAACAACAATGACAACTCTATTGCAATTTCCGCGTATTCTATTGAAGTTTTGCTGTTTTTTTTTAACTTTCTCATCAGGCTACTTGCAGTTCGGAATACGGTTATAGTTTCCGAATACAAAATAAATAAAAATAATCAAGGCCATCCTCACTATCTGCCCATTATTCTAGTATCTTTTCCAGGTTCTAGGTAGTCAAATTATGATTCGGCTTATTGTGATTCTGAAGAAGAAACCTCCGTAATTTAAAATAACATTAAAACATTAAATAAAACGTGCTGTGTTTCATATATGAAACAAAACGAAATATGTAAAAAGTATATTAAAAACACAGATTTGTTAAGAAAAACTTACAAATTATTAATAAATATATATTCACTAATCTTTTTCGCACACTATTTTAAATAGAAAAGATGCTCCATTTTTCAATAAAAATCACTTATCATAAACAACTTCTAAGAGCTCGAAACTAGTTTGTACACGTTTGTCACTTTTATGCAATTAAAAAAATATAGTTTAAAAAAACACGATTTCAAAGCACTTCAAACTAAAAAGTTATATTTGTATTATTGTGAGAAAAGTGTGGTACGCTCGATATACAAAAATGGCACAAACCATTCCAATATTTATTTTTCACTTTTTAGTTTAATGTGCTTTAAAAGCATGTTTATTGCGTTTTTAAACCATATTTATTATCTAGAAACACGTGGTGTTTTCACTCTCTTAAAGGACGTGTTTGAGTAAATTTGTTATTTAAATGACAGCATGAAATTTGATGCTCTTAGTCGCATAGTTTTAGGCTTTTTTATTCTTTGCAGTGGCTATGAAACAGTTGATTCTTTTTTCAGTAACATACAGTCTCAGTGCCACTGAAAAAGGTTGCAAGCATACAACCACCATGTTAAACCTATGGCTAATAAAAGCGCTATAAATAAAACATAGGTAGTCAGTAAATCTTTAATTTTACCGTTAACATGCTTTGTTGCTGAAGTACAACTAGGCGCCGTAATGTGTTAATTAAAGCGGCTAAATTTATTATATTGGGCATATGAGTAAAAAATCAATCAATCAAAAAAGAAAGAGAAAACGATATATTAGAGAAAAGGGCTTAGACCTTTAACCGTGGTCTTACATTCATCTTCAGCGCTAAACCATATTCTGTTAAGGAAAACATATCCACTTAATAACATTAAAATATCACACATGTTGATCCACATTAACGATTTAACGTCAGAATTAAAGTGGGCAATTACTATATCGGGTATTTTGAGGCTAGGGAAAACCTTTACTGATTGCATAACCTTTTCTCATTACTCAATTATGCTAGAGAATATGATTCCATCTAATTTTATAACCGATATATTCGGCATAAAGTAGCTATAATAACGAAAATTATTGTTTATTGTATTTTGGAGCTGGCGTCGTAACCCGATTTATCATATTTTCAGCAAAACTATAGTTTATCCAATACTTTACGATGACTTCATTTTGCTAAAATATCTTACATATTGACCTAAATATACGGTATAAATCCAACCGTAAGTTTTAAATTCTTATATTAGGTATACAATTGAACTCATAATATCCATTTTTGGTATCATTACATATGATTGCAGATGCTCTTTGACTTTCATTTACATACCTCACCGATTGACCAATATGTTCGTTGAAAAGTCAGCCATAGTACTGAGGTCCACATGTTTGGTATCGGAGGGCTTGAAAAATTAAAGTTTGATTTGGGCAATTTTTAGTCATAAACCTTAAAAAAAATTATTTGGGAAAAGCTTTATTTCGATATATTCATTAGTGCTTAATTTATATACAATACTATAAAGTTAAAGGTTTAGATGTAAATCAAGATTGTGGTATACGGGAAGTAGGCGTATTTGTAGTTTGCTTTTCACACTGTCACATACGGATACTCACCACAAAGCTCATTCGCAATGATTGAGTAGTTTCTGAGATATATGATGTCACCTAAAAGTTAGCGGTGCCACGCCCGTTGTCCAATTTTTACATCGCATTCTTTGAATCCCTTAAATGCCATATTATCTACAAATCCGATACTGTATTTCATTACTTGGCTCGGTATACGCTGAGTGGGTGTATTTATCTTACGAGTTAACCCATTTTCATACTGTGGGGAGAGGTGTTAAAAAAATGCATCCTTTGGTCGGTATAGCATTGATGTTTTGTAAAACATATACATTCAACTTATTAGAGGGTGGCGTCACGACCACTTTTTCAATTTTTTAGCTCACAGATGCCCTTCACTTCGCCGATCAAACAAAAATAAAAGTTTGTGCCTTAATTTAGAGCTTAGTTATACTTGTAGCAGTTCTCGTTTATACATTTTCGATTAACGACATTTTGTGGGCGTAGCAATGACCCGATTTTGCCTATTTACAAAACCAACATGACTAGGAACTCTTTTACCAAGTTTCATTGGATATCTCAATTTCTATTTAAGTTATCGCTTGCACGGATGGACGGACGGATAGACAGACAGTCAGCCGGAATTCAAATTGTCCCGTCATCTTGAACATTTATATACATATATATATGTAACTTTAGATCTATTTTGATTAATTTTAGGTGATGCAAGCAACTTTGAGTTAAATAAAACTATTATACTATTCCGTAGAAACATGTTGCGAGAATATAAAAAGATCTGACTGGGCTTTCAAAATTATATTTCCTCTCATCAGAAAGTATGAATAATGTCACTCCTTAGACCAAGTCATGTGTGTTCGGACAAAGTTTAGGGCATTTCTTTTCGCAACTCTCCAAGTGTTGGTTTTTCCTTCATATCTGCTGTATTAAATGATCAGCCTTTTTAATTTTAGCGGAGAAGTCGTGTATGTCTGAACCTTCTCTGAGTATGATCCTCCTGTCTGCTCGCTGATTAGACGGTTATTGCTGCCCTTAACGTTATTTCCATAAGTTTCTTTATTTCCAAGAAAACTAGACTTTTTTTCGATACCTCCCCGATGCAAATAAATCTAACTACGAATAAATATAACAAGGTCCTTCCTATGACCTGGTTTTTACTGTCAGAAAGAGAAAGTCTTTCGATGTAAAAAAATTAATTATTATGAATCTGTGTACAATAGAAAAAAGCTATCCCGGTGATGCGCATGGCATGATTTATAACATTTACCGAGCATATTACTTCAATATTTACTCAATTACTCCTTAACTATTTAAATATTTTTAAATATTTATGTAAATGTTTTAAGAAAATATATATGATATATGAATTTAAGTGGTTTAATGCCTTTTATTAATCTATTTTCAGAATTTTTTTCATTGCAAATTGTGTGATCGTTTTGGGTGCGAGTGTCTTTTTCGTCTACTTGGTTGCCAAAAAATGGTCATACTCGCCAACAATAATCAGCATTAACCCTGTATCCAGTTTAATTACCGATTATCCATATCCTGCTGTGACTATATGCAATATGAATCAAGCTCTCAGGAGCAAGGTATCAAACTTCTCAAAGTAAGTTTCCAATTTTAGAATTAACAACGTTAGTCTAGTATATAGATCAACGGTTCCTTCGGCTCGACCGAAGCTATAATACCCTTTACTGATGCATTTCTTATAGCAACTATATGTACAACTAATTCTGAATACCTAACCGGCCAACAGCTTGTTCTTCCTAGCCATGTTGACTGATATAAACAATTTTCAAGTCTACTTAATAAGGAAAAAAGATCTTAATATTTATTTTAATCGGTGAAGAAAACTAAGCCCGCAAACATTTATTATATTTCGAATAGCTTCTTTAGAAAGCGAATGGGGTAATGTACAATAGTATAAAAAGTGTGAAAAAGTTCTTTACTTTAAACAAAAAAGAAGGGAAAATATTGATATTTTACCAACTAGATTCCGAAAATACTTTTTGAACTAGTTACAGAAGAAATTTTGAGATATTACTGAAAATATTTCGATTGTTTTGCTCTAGATCTTCCAAGGAATATTCATTTGTAAAATTTCTGTGTAACTGGGACCCAAATATTACAGTACACGAGGCCATTAACAATAGGAGTTTTATTGGTGATTTTGTTGTAAATGTAAGCTACGAAATGGAATGAAATGATTTTTCAAAAACAACAAAAATAATGCATTTATATATATACTTTCAGACATCGCAATCTTGTGAACGAATGCTTCTTAAATGTAGTTTTGGTGGTGTGGAATACAATTGTACAGAACTTTTTCATTCAGTTCTACTGGACGAAGGATTGTGTTGCACATTCAATTCACTGGATCCGGTCTACAAATTTTCCAATGTGTCGGTTTTTATAGTTTGCAAATCATTTGATTGAGTGTTTAATTATATGACTTTCTTATATTCTTTCTCGGAACAGATCAACCAAAGTTTATTACAACAAAACATATCCACCTAACGTCAAGCCCGTTGATTGGTCTTTGGAAAATGGCTATCAGAACCCCTTACCCAAATATTATTCACCAATGAAGGCAGTCGGTTTTGGACAAACACTCGGATTAAACATTATTTTAAATGTAGAGAGAGATGAGTATTATTGTTCGTCTGGGAAGAGTATAGGTTTCAAAGTCACAGTAGGCAACCCCGAAGATGAGCCAAATGTACACGAATCTGGTCTACTGCTTGCACCCGGTCTTGAGTCATTCATTCGCATTATCCCCAGTCATCAAGAAGCAGATCGAAAATTGCGCAATTTAAGTCGTAAGTACAGAAATTGCATTTTCGAGAGGGAACGGAAGTTATCAGTATTTTCACACTATTCATACGTGAATTGTATGTATGAGTGTAGAACAAAAGCTACAATCTCTATTTGCGGTTGCGTTGAACCTTATATGGTTACGAAATATTCGAATTGCACAATATGTAGCTACACAGATTTTAAATGTGTACAGGAAATTCAGTACTTATTGAAAAATAAACGATTTGAAATACCATGTGGTCAAGAATGCTGGATCAATTGTTTTTATAAGAAATACAAAATTGATATATTTTCTACAAACTTGAAGAAATCATTAATGGAAGCCACTAACACTCTGTTCGCGAATATGACTGATACTTATGTGGAACAAAATATTGCTATTGCCAACTTTTACCTGAAGCGATATTCTTATGAAAGCACCAAACATTCGCCATACATTGACTCCATTGATGTGTTATGTAAGTAAAGTAAATATTGATATTGGCCGTCTTAGGTCATTAATTATTCTGAATACCAACAAGTAAGAAGGGGGTTCGGGTGTAACCGAACATTTTATACTCTTGCAACGTGCAAGGATATCTCAAAGGCACTATTTGTGCAGAGTTTTATCCGAATATATTCATTGGTGCTTAATTTGTGTACTGAAAGTGTCACATGGAATTTAAACTTATGCTATATTGGTTATATTATACACCGAATTTGGTTGAAATTAGTCGAGTAACTGCGGAGCTATGTAATTTCACCTAAATGTGGCCGGTGCCATGCCCATGGTCCAATTTTGACCCCGGCTCCTATAAGGCCCTCTTGTATCAACCGGGGGGTAAAATTTAATGTCTCTGGCGCATTTGGTTATTAATTTATCGCGCTTTAAGTAGTGTTTAACAAAACCGTTATATGTGGAGAACGCGAGGTTATAATCCGAGTTCATCCATTTTAACACTGTCGGTAAGAGTTCTTATAGGATTTGTCGTAAGCAAATTTGGTTATTATAGCTTCAGTGGTTTAGGTTTATGTACATTAAACCTATAAGAAGGGCACATATACCCTTTGCTTCTGAAGTGCCCTGTACAAAACAACAGGTTTATATCTTAATTTATTGCTTAGCTATGGCATTTTATAAGTTTTCGAATAATGGCGTTTCGTGGGCGTGGCAATGGTCCGATTTCGCTACTATTATACTCTGTAGCAACATGTTGTAAGCTTGTAAAAATACCAGACAAAACGCCTATGGGGTTATTACTGATACAGTTTCACGATTTTTTATAAGATCTAAAAACTGCGGAAAACAGAATCTTTCACATCAAAAGAGTTTTGTATATATTCCATACATTCCTTTCTTAATTTATACACTCCCTATTTTTGAAGTTGGAAGAAATGCCTATTAATTTTTACCCGAAAAGCAATAGAGTTAAAAATAAAACAAGTAAGGAAGGGCTAAGTTCGGATGTAACCGAACATTTTATACTCTCGCAAAGTCAAATGGTATACTCGTTTTAGATTTCTTTGTGTATCTTGCCGCCTTGTTCTATGTTGACCGATATTTTCGGGGTTCACATATTCAGTACCTAGGAGCTTGAACAGTTTTGGTTCAATTTAGATAATTTTTGGTCCAAAGGTGGCATACTTTAAACGAATTATTCACGCTAAGTTTTACCCCGATAGAATCATTGTTGCTTGATATGCATAGTAGAAAGTGAAAGAATCAGATGGAATTTAAAATGATGTTATATGGGAAATAGGCGTGGTTGTAATCCGATTTCGCCCATTTTCGCACTACAACATTGAAATATGAGAAGAATGTTATGGACGAATTTGGTTGAAATCAGTTAAGCAGGTCCCAAGAAATGGGTTTTCACCTAAAAGTGAGCAAATCATCTTATACCATCACAGAAATAAAATTTAATGTCTCTGGCTTGTCTAGTGCTTGATTTACCAGTACCGTTATATGGGGAGTGGGCGGGGTTGTCACCCGATTTCACCCATTTTCACACCGTCAATAGAAATGCTAAAAGAATTTGTTCCCAGTGAATTTTGTTAATATAGCTTCAGTGGTATAGGAGATATGCACATTAAACTTATTAGGGGGCGGAACCACAGCCACTTTTTAAAACAAATTTAAACTGCAGATGCCCCTCCCTAATGTGATCCTGTATACCAAATAAGAGTTTTGTGGAGCTTAGTTATGGCAATTTATTTGGTTTTGAATAATAGCGTTTTGTGGGTGTGGCAGTGGTAAAGATATCTCAATTTTTACTCAAGTTACCGCTTGCACAGACGTACGGACGGACGGACGGACGAACCGACAGACAGTCACGCGGATTTCAACTCGTCTCTACATCCTGATCATATATATATATATAACCCTATATCTAACTCGATTAGTTTTAGGTGATACAAACAACCATTAGGTGAACAAAACTATTATACTCTGTAGCAACAAGTTGCGAGAGTATAACAAGTAAAGAAGGACTTGGAAGGATCAAACCCGGGGGAATACCATCAAGTGTTGACAAAACTTTATATTAAGAAATGTAGCGAAAAGATTTAACTTCATTGTTTAATGAAATGGTGAATGGATTACAATCAAATTTGGTATAATTTTTACTTATTTTAAAGGTCATAGACTCATGTACCTTTGTTTAATTACTTAAGTCTATGAACATTAATTCTTATAGACTAAAAGAAAAGTATAGCATAATAAAATTAAACAACTAGATAACTTTCTTTCAATCGAGCTCTCAGAAATCGAGTTAAACTCAATCGAAGTACACTTGAGGGGGGCATAACCTGCAATTTTAGTTTTCTCATTTTTACCGTAAAATGGGGAAATGAATCTAAGGCAACGCTAAGGATTATTTAAATTAATTTTTCCTAACAAATAAGGACAGTCAATAAATCCATTAATAACATTGAAAACAAATGAAAGGCAGAGAACCGACCGTCGATTTGCAAGTGATTTCAGATTTAATAGCAATAAACGAGATTCATAAGACGGTATTGGGTCAACATACTTTAAGGAGCGGAGGGAAAATTTAAAGAAAATGTTCTGAACAGGTTCAATCCTATTAACTGAAGATAGACAATATGGTCTCCAGACGAACACAGCATACTCCAACATAGAACGAACAAAAGACGTAAACAATCATTTTAACGTATAGGGGTCGGAAAATCTGGACGCATTTCGACGGACAAAGCCAATCACAGAGAACGATTTAGAAATGATATAATTTGGTCGGAAAATCTGAACGCATTTCGAGGACAAGCCTATGTTTGGAGAATGATTTTGAAGTAATGTAATTAATGTGCTTATTGAAAAAAAATCTATTGCCAAAGATTAACCCAATATCTTTAATTTCGGTTAGAAATTTTAGGATTTGATAAGTTGTAACATATCAAATCAAAAGGTAAAATGCTACGTCCCTTCACATACGAGATTTGTGAACATTTACTCAAATTCAGAGAAAGCTGTGATCTCAAGCACCAATCATAAAAACTATCAATATTGCTCTGAAGTTTATTTACATCTTCAGAGTTTTTGATTATTGAGAATATTTTCAAGTCATCTGCACATAGAAAAAATTTAGCAAAAAAGAAACAACAGGAAATGTCGTTGATGAATACCACAAAAAGAAGAGGTCCTAAAACGCTTCCCTGTAGCACTCCCGATGACGCAACGAAAGAATCGTATGACACACTTACGACAATAAAAACGCAACGTCTATTGTGAAAATATGACCTGATCCCCTGCAAGAAGACAGAATGAAAACCTAAAGCGAATAACTTTTTAATTAGAATATTGTGTGAAGTCTTTAGAGAAATCGGTATAAACACAATCTAGAGGTGATACAAACAACCGTTAGGTGCAAAAAACTATCATACTCCGTAGCAACATGTTGCAAAACTATAACAAGAAAGGAAGCGCAAGTTCAGGGGTAACCGAATATTTTATATTTTCTCATAATTCGCAACGAACAAAGATTTTGAGATATTTTCAAGAATTGCAAAACCTTAAATCAAAAAATTTTGTGTAAGAGTTTAACATTCATTATTCGGCGAAATCTTGATTGAATTACAATGAAATTTGGTATCTTATTAACTTATATTATAAGTCGTAGACTTTGCTTATCCGAAATATTTAGCTTAATATAGCTAAAATCAAGCCAATTAACTCAAAGGAGATGTGATAAAAACTCAACCAAAGAGGTTAATTTTAATACATCGGGTATATGAGTAAAAACACGACGAAATAATCGAGAGTCATTATATTAGGGATATTAGATTTAGAGAAACTACAATCATATTCAGTTCTAAGCCACATTTTGGTTAAGAAATTCACTAAGTTTTATTAAAATGTTGACCAACACTAACGGTTGAAAGTCATATAAGTATAATGTCAAAGTGGCTGAAAATAGCTATAACTTGGGTTTGGAGATGCTTTGGACTGATTGCATTAATTTCTGACATTATTGAAGTATCTAGTATACGTTGCCACGCAAGTCTGTGAAAATAAATCGCATACTATTCGGTATGTCAGGCCTAAAGTATGTTAGACCAACGAAAATTATTACAAATATTTTGTATATGGGAGCTGAAGAAATTCGCGGATCGTTTTCACACGTCTTCGGTAATAAACAATAAATAGCAGTTGTACAAAAATGAACGTGTGCGTTGGTGTCAAGGGGCGCCACTTAGTCGGTGCGCAGCAGCATAGGTAATTTTTATAAGTCTAAATGTAAGTAAGAATATTCAGCATGATACGAAAATATATATTCCAAACTATCATAAGTACACATACATACAGTCCACTCATTTGTAATAATTACTTTTGACCTCGGAAATATGTTCAAATATCCTTGAAGAGACATATGTATGTATATGTTAATTGATAAGAGAAAATTAAGTTTAATGTAAAATAGTATATGAGCGATGAAAATCTAATTTTTTGTTTTAATTTTTATAAAATTTCGAATTAAAAAATACATCCAAATCTAAATCATTATTCACACTTATACGATGAACCCCTGATTTTTAATCGCAATTTATATATTATTCCGTTCCATCCACAGATTCACAAGATGGCAGTCGAATATAATAATTGTAATAGGTATACTATAATTTTCGTGTATAGCACTATCAATCAATCAGTTATCCCTACCAGGTGTCTGCCATTGTCACTTCTGAACCAACAAACATTACAAGTATGAAGTAGGGACGAAAACGAACTCGGCTTCCTTTTTCTCACTCTCTATACAGTTTTCGTCCATGTTGTTTATTTGATCTTATTTGTGTTTCGATCGTAGCACTGCAGTGCAACTCTTAAGTTAATTTTAGTCTTATTGTGAATTTAACATTCCTTCTTAGTGCTGAAAATAGCGATATCTTAGACATTAACATTGACAATCATCTCTGCTGGGTAAAACATTCAATACTTACATATTATATATTATATTAATGTTGAGTTCTGGAGTTCGATGAAGAGAATCAAATATATTGGCATGTATGTGAATAAAGGAAGTGAAATTAGCATTGAAAATGCTGTTGTAAATGTTCCTCCAATAAATTAAGATGATGAAATAACGAATTACCAAAACAAAGAAATCGAAAACGGCCAACGCCTATTTTTCACAAACGATATCGTGCTATAATAATGGGTCGTATATAATAATACGAGGCTAATGAGATTATTATTGTTGTTCCAGAAAAATTATACAGATTGTTGTGCACTATTTGGAATATTAATTTCCGTTAAATTTAACATAGCGAATATATTGTACAGACAGACAAACAAAATCCACATAAGCACAATTCATTCAACAGCAAGTTCTGTTAATTGTCAACACAAAACCTATAACTGGCAGTATCACGAAATTTTCCAGTTCCGGTTTTTAATGCATAATCTGTTGACATAACAACCACCGTTCATTATTGATAACCTATTATATTGTTGAGTAGAAATTTTACATGTCAAACAATAATTTTCCATCAAGTTACGCGTGCTTTCCAAATAAAACAAAAGGAAGAAATTTTAAAGAGCCAGAAGATGAAAATCGCAGCTGCTTTCAGCGTGATAGGGACCGAATTATTCACTCTAATACATTTAGAAAATTGGAGTACAAAACACAAGTTTTTATCAATTATAAGCACGACTAATATCGCACTCGGCTTATTCATAGCCTTGAAGTTGCACAAATAGCATGGTCCATTGCTCATAGATTTGGCTTAAAAGCTGCAACTTTAAACTTAATTTTATATATCAAAAAGTAAATGAATGTACACAAATTTAATTTTGTTTTAACTTTGTGATTATTTTAAACAAAAACAAGTCAATTTATTATTCGAAATGTTGTTAATTTTTTTTACATTATTAATTTAAACAAAAAAGTGCTGTCTACAGCTGTTCATAAAAATAGCAGTGAGTAATGAAAACAGTGAAATTAGTTGAAAAAAACATTGTTGAACTCCAAAAAACTATTTTAATTTGTTTGCTTGGGTTAGTACTTAGACGTGTACCCATTATTTTTTATTATGGCCTGGCAACTGCGAGGCATAGAATCCACCAAGTCCTGGCAGCGCTTGACAGGGATCCGCTCCCATGATTTTTGAACAACCTCCCAATGCTGTGATCGAGATGTTGGATTTGCATTTGCAACATATCGTTTAACATCTCCCCATAGGTTTTCAATTGGATTTAAATCCGGAGACTGCGCAGCCCAGACATAAGATCGATCCGCTTTGATGCCATCCAGCTTTTGACCAGTTTGCTTGTATGTTTGGGGTCGTTATCTTGTTAAAACGTCCATTTTAGTGGCATTTCCCAATTGGCATAAGGAAACATAACATTTTCTAATATGTTAACATATACAGATCGATCCATGATCCCATCAATCATGAATATAGGGCCCACTCCACTGTAAGAAAATCATGTCCATGCCATAATACTCAATCCGCCGTGTTTAACTGTCTTCAAAGTGTAGGATCGTACTCTGTGTTAGGTGGACGTCTGACATATTGTCTGGAGCCCTTTCCACCAAATAACACAATTTTACTTTCGTCACTCCATAAAATATTTCGCCACTTTGTAATGGGCCAATTAAGGTGACTTTTGGCGAACTCCAAACGTGCTTTGACATGTCTGGTGGCTAACAGTGGAACTTTTCGTGGATGGCACGCTTTGAGATTTTGTTCTTATATGTTGATATTTCTTTTTTCAGGAGTACAATGTTTGCTCCTGCTCACTAAGTTAAAAAATATAAATTTATTTTAGTGTTTTCTAATGTTAATAATAGTCACTAACACAAAACCACTTACTTTTATCAATTAAACGTCTTAACAAAAATTTTTTGTCTTATAATACGCACTGATATTTTAATGAACAGCCAAAGACTGGTGCTTTTAGCAAAAAGAGTTGTTCATGTGCTTAAATCTTGCAAATCTAACGGGATTTTTTCGTTTTTTCTATATACACATTTCATTCTACAACAACAATGCGTAGACGTTGGAATAATCGTAACAGAACTTGAAAAAAAATAACACTACTTGATTGCATTTCTCGCACTGCTATTTTTGTAAACACAGCTGTATATACACTGAATGTATAGCGCTCGCACATGATCTTGGCCCGATTCCGTCCAGCTGAAATACGACTATAAAAATCATCAAACAGAAGATTTTTCTTGGTATTTTGGGGCTGTTTTTCCCCATTCTCCCATATTGAGAAATCCTAAAAGTAAATGTTACTTTCGAGGTTGATTGAGTTGTATAAGATGTAGGTAGATAAAATATGAACATTAAACCGATTGAACGGCGTGGGTTGGTCCTTTCCCAAATTTTAACATCACAATAATTTTTTTTTTTGGTGAATCTAAATATAATAATAACTTTTAAAAAAATGTTTAAAATTTAACTCTTCTGGCATATGTGTGAAAAACAATTATTTACCATTTTCTTACTTTTCAGCTAGTGTCGGTGGTCTCATTGGAGTCTTTATGGGACTAAGTTTCATTTCGTTTGCTGAAATAATTTACTTTCTCTGCATACGATCATGTCGAATGAACTCTGATCGGACAATTGACAATTCTTGGCGAAGACCTTGTACACTTTTATCTAATAGACCCAAAACGCGTTTCATTAATCCATATAAAACCCCAGCATACTCATTACATCAACACAATAAATTCAAACTACCACGGAAGATGTGAAACTTCAGCTTTTTGGCTATTTTAAATATTAACTCTCACCACTACTAGCCACTAGCATAAAAATACCATAAATTGCAAAATAACGCCGCTTCATTAATCACATTAGATCAAGAGTCATCACTTATGTGCACAAATAACGGTTTGTCTCCACAAAGATTTTTCTTCCACTCACATAGATAGCTGTATTTACCGAAAAGTAAAACACGTATGTACCATATATTTGTAAAGGTCACCTCAAATCGTTAGTAACGGTATTATTTGTCATAGACCAATATTTGCAAGCCGCCAACATTCGTGCCATATTTAGTGGAGGCGTGTGGCAGCAACTACTTTTAACCGTTGGACATGTGGGCACACACTGAGCGTTGAGTAGAGGTGCGTATACACCGATTCCATAACGTGCCTGCGACTATATTATAACTATTTGATTTTATATTTGCCATTAGTAAATATGATTTGCGCTGCTTTGTCGAATATTAATCCTTTCAATATCTAACAACATTTAAAAATTAAATATTTCAGTGTGCCTTCATACTTACGTGCGAGAGCTATTCGAATCGATACAACTTTAGATACTTGATTCAATTACAGTTAAAAACTGTAAGCCGTTAGTGCAAGATGAGCATTTATGCCGAAGGTCGTTTGGTGCAATTGAAACCAAAATATACGCCCGAAAAGCCGAAAGTGTCCGGTAAGCAGTAGGAAATGTTGGGTTTGGAAAAAATGATTTACTTTTTCAGATTTCAATATTTCTAGTACGCTCAAAATATAAAAGCAGCGATTGCTCTAGCGAGGAAATCGAGGATGATCATCTCTGTACCAAGGAGGCTGCAAAGAAAAGTGTTAAATATTACTTACAAAATACCACCTTGCATGGCTTGAAATACATTGCGGAGGACAAAATTACTTTGGCCGAAAGGTAAATATCGGTTTCGGCGATTTATATAACTTTCTAGTCATGAATACAAACACCATGAAGAGTAGTAAGACGAAGATGGTAGTACCTGGTTAAAATAAAATTCACTAACTAATAGAAAACGGGCAAACTTTCTACTCCTCTCTGAATGAAATTATTTTTTAGTGCTGAATCTTGTGAAAATGTTTGAAAGCGGTACCTATGATAGGGGTTTCTACGAATATATAAGGAATATATATGTTCGACATCGAATCAAATACAGAATGCCAACTTTGGGGATTCTTTATATTAACTCGCAATGATTTAGTTTCATTGTGCCACATTCTCAGCTAGAAATCTAAAATTATGTAAATCGTTTTTGTATACTTAACTATCATATGTATTAACATCCTCGCGAAGATGGATTTATTTGTCCCCACGTGACGCTAGATCATAAATATTAGATAAGGATTCCATAAACCAAATATATTAATTCCAGTCTTTCAAATTGATTTGATATTGTACTTCATATCGGTTATTATGTGAAATATCCTAATCCATATAAATTCTTTACTTGCCATAATATAAATTTATACCAAAAATGGACAAAATCAGTTAATAGCTTCCCTCAGCCACTATATCATGAATATACATATTCCTGTTAGTCCGCTTGACTTGAAATACTAGGTGCCTTCGATTCGCCAAGCGTTACACTCCAGCGAATCGAACAAATTATACCAGATGCTCAAAGAAACGGGTAGCACTTGTGGCTGGTCATTATTCTTTCTTAGTCGGAAATTATTTTTTTCGAGTTAAAAAACGTTGATGTAACTCTTTATTATGTTTGTCTATAAATTACTATAATTGATTTTAAGTATTATGTTGTAAAATACAATAAAAAAAGAAATTTGTATTTTCATCTATACGATTTAATATATTAACGTTTCCATTTCGTTATTATATTTATGTCTTTATTTTTTTTTTTTTGTGATATTTTAGAGTATTTTTCGGGCTGTCTTTTATTGGTGTGGTTATATTATCTGGTTATTTCATATCCAATGTCTATGTGAAATGGTCTGCTTCGCCGATTATAATTTCCACTAGCGCCAAACAAACACTCGCTAGCGATGTGCCCTTCCCAGCAATAACCATATGCAATCTTAATCAGGCATCTAAAAGTAAAGTACAAAGCATACCGACGTAAGAAGATTTTAATTCCAGAATATTTAAGTGTAAAATTCGAATTCGTTTATATAATAATTTTATTCAGATCTTTTTATAGACAAAATTTAAACTATTCTTTACTCATGAGCCTCTGTGGACAGAACCAGTTGGGAGAATCGTATAATGTTAGGGGTACCTGGTCAAATTTTAAAACCATTCTGAAAGCGGTATAATAATTTTATAAAAATTAGATTTTACGCATTTTCTTCGAAGTGACCTTTTCTTAATGAAACAGGTGGCTCAACCCTGCGAAGAAATGCTTTTGTACTGCAGCTTTGGTGCGAAGCAGGAAAATTGCTCCGTGATCTTCAACTCCGCCTTAACTGACGATGGCTTGTGTTGTACATTTAATGCTTTGGATCCAATTTTTATGCTGCGAAATTATAGGTAATTTAAAGATAGGTCCGACAAAAATAAAAATATTGGAGAAAGAATATTTCTTTTTACGCTACAATAATGCAGCGATGAAGACCGCATCTCACCTAAATCATCCAACCATTTTGTACCGATAGACTGGACACCCGAAAAGGGTTACAATGCTGATCTACCGAAAAACTATTATCCACGTGTGTCAGGTGGTACCGGCAGTCGGCTAGGTCTAACAGTTGTCTTGAACTCTTCAGCTTCCGAGTATTACTGCACGAAATCTAAGAGTGTTGGCTTCAAGGTAGCTGCTCGAAAATACTATATTAACACATTTTATTGCAAAATAACATTTCGTAATCCAATCCAAGATTTTGGTGCATAACCCCGCCGAACTTCCCAGGGTAACAAATTATGGATTTTTAGTGACAGCCGGACGAGAAGCACGCATTCCAATCGAACCGATTTATGAGAACGCCGTTCCTGGCATACGTTCCATACGTAAGGAGAAACGGCGTTGCCTCTTTTCCGACGAGGGCGACCTAACCTATTACCGCACCTATTCGCGCAGGAATTGCGAAATCGAGTGCGAGGCGAAAATTTTGATTGATAAGTGCGACTGTGTCCTTTACTTTTTGCCACGCATTAATGCATCAGTGCGTATCTGTGGGCCCAATGACAACGCGTGCACAAATGAAGTGCAAACACAAATCGAGTCGTCAGATAAAAAGGTGACTTGCGCCAATTGCTGGCCGGCATGCTTTGAACTGAGCTACAGGGCAACCGTAACGGCCACGACAATCACTTCTGGGCAATTTTTAACGACCGAGTGGCCACCCGAGTTATTCAGTTCGGCTACAAACTTTTCTGAGATATCTATAGTGAACTTTTACTATTTATCAAGTATATTGCGCAGTACAACGAAGTCGGAGATGTTCGGCTTCACTGAGTTTCTATGTAAGCTCTAAATGTGTAAAATGTAAACAATGTCAACCTATTGTATATTTCTTTTTTTTGCTCCGTAGCCAACACTGGAGGTCTATTGGGCTTATTCATGGGATTTAGTATCTTCTCGATTATCGAAATAGTGTATTACGTTACTGTGCGTCCGTATTGCGCTAGCCGCACCATGCAAATGTCCCGTCGCCGTCGTCATAAAAACATGAAAGTAAATTTATTTTACGATTTTAAGCACTGGAAGTGCAAGCAAGTAAAGCAAGTATCTCTATGATTAATGCGAATGCTATTTATTTCAGTGGTTGCGCGCTCTTCGAAGCAGAGTCAAACCTGCGAAATATGAGGGCTCCTCCAAATTTTGGTTGAATGAGATGCAACAGAAGAAGGTCACGAATTACAAAAACTACAAAAATAATTTAAATCATATTTTCTTACAACACAAACAAACCCAACAGAATAATGATAGCGTACTAATGTATCCCTATTTGGAGTAAAAGCGAAAAAAAAATAGTATTTCAATATATATGATTTCAGCACAAATTAGATTTACTCACTTACGTCATGTAAATGCACATTCTTTTGCCCTAATATATGTATATTTGCATAAGTTAAATGTGCTTGAATAAAAATAAAATAAATTGAGCTTATAGCCTTCTGCACCATTAATCTGCTAATGCTAATAAATACTTACATACCGTTTGTTCTCAAACGCTACCGAAAACTAAACTCAGCTAGCTATTTTGAAACTGTGAAAGCCAGCTATTTCGACAGGGTGAGCATGCAGGTCTCCCTACATAATGAACTCGTATAGGTAAGAGTTTAATACGTTACAGTGTCCATACCATGATTAGACCGAGGTTACTCGGGTCTGTCGTGATAACTAGAGCTTTTGAACTACGATAGGTGGTGCTGCGTCAGTAAAGTGTTTTACAGCCTGTCTTGTTGACGTTAAATGCTTGTATTTAGAACACCTAAGTCCATCAGTAATGAGAAGGTCCTACTACCCTCTTTTTATATGATGCTGTAAATATTAAATTTATCCTTTTCCCCAGAGAAGTTAAATATCTTTTGTATTGACTGTTATAGTTTGAAATTCCTATTTTCTTAAAGTATGTAATTATTTATTCTTTGTTAAAATTTTGATGATAACTTAATTATTTTCTCAACTGCCCAATCTAATGAACGTGGACATTAACTATTTATATGCCAAAAGAGATATTTTAAAGAATATTTATCTTAGAATTGTTAAATATGGTACAAAAATTAAGAAAAAGTAGTGCTTTTCTTAGCACAGTACAGTGAATAATGAATATGAAATCAATATAGATTTCCATATGTTGCGTATAATCAACGACTTTTTATCTGCATTATAAGTTAAATTAATTTTTGTAATCTATCTGTTTACAGTTTCTCATGATAATTTTTATAAAAATATTTCGAAAGATTCAAGTAAAATTTCTGAGCTTATAGCAAAGGTGATAGATGTATGACCCAATGAGAGCTTGGTTGAGTTAGGGAAGTATGAATGTAAGTATATTAAGTATTGTATCTAGCTTTTTCC